CCAGGGATTTGGCACAGTGGTTTCACTGCCTGCCTCACAAGCGCAAGGACCTGAGTTCAATCCCCGGTACCAAAAAAAAGACTACAATAATAACCAGAAGGCAGCAGAACCAATATCCTTAATAAGTCATAACAGCTTAAGAGACCTTGATTACTCTTTGACACTCTTTCAACTGGACCCATGATAAAATATTTTTTTTTTTTTAAGAAAGTACTAGCTGGGCATGGTGGCACAGGCCTGTAATTCCATCACCCTGAGAGGCTGAAGCAGAAGTTTGAGTCCAGTCTGATTGAATTAGTGACTAAGCAAAAACCTGTCTCAAAATTAAAAATTAAAAAAGAATTGGGGATGTACCTTAGTTCAAAGACACTGGTTTCAATCCCTAATATAGCAAAAACAACAACAAACACAACACACTACTATTCAGATGTTTCAGTTCTTACCAGGATTGCTGTAAAAAGGGAGTATGTGTAGCAAAAGTATACTCCAGCACAACTTGCAAAACAAGACTGGAAATAAGCTAAAAATACACCAGGGAACAGGTTAAAGAAAAATGTAGCACAATCCTGTAAATTAACACTATGTAAGTTCCTGAGAAAAAAGTATATTCATATATTATGAAATGTGGTCCATCATATTATTGGTAAAATTTAAGGTGCAGAAAAATAGATGCAAAATGATCCTTCAGTGGCTTAAAAATGTCAATATGTAGAACAAGTCAGGATATAGAATCAAGCAGTTAATAGCCCGAGGAAACAAGTTAGGGCTGCTGGACTGCTAATTTAACACACTTGGGTATTTTGCATTTTCTTAAGCAAGAGCTGCAATTCGGACCAGTATGATAAAACAGAATATTGTGAAATAAATACCTTTCAACCAAAATACCTTTTCCTATCAGTAATGTATGAGAAAGGGACTAAACCCTGAGATGTTGTAACACTTAATACCAAGATTCCAAGTATCTCTGACAGGCATTCGCTCCACGTGGTAACATCCCTAGGGCTTGGAGGAGCTTCCTAACAGAGATCTTTCCTGATAAAGGAAGAGGGAATCACCACGGAGGGGGGGATTGCTGTAAAACTGGTTTTCAAGGGCCAGGGAATTTCGCTCAGTCTGGCAAGCGCAAGGTCCATAGTTCGATCCCTAGTATCAAAAAAACCCAAAACCGTTTTTCTAGCTGGGCATGGGGGCATGCGCCTGTAATCCCAGCACTCTGAAGGCTGAGACAGGAGGATCACCAAGAGTTCAAGGCCAGCCTGAACTTCACGGCAAGGTTCCTGTTTCCAAAAAAGTAGCCTTCAAATTTTAGTGTACAAGAATCATTGGGAGACCCCATCCCCAGATAATTCTGTTTCAGGAGATCTGGGTGTGGACTGAAAAGGAACTTTTCTCAAAAGAGCATTGACGTGAGGCAACGGTCCGCGGCCCTAAAAATTACTAACCCTTAAAAACCGTCTATGTCATTCTCGCGGTCTCCCTCTCTCCCACATCCTTCCTCCGAACTTCACCGCTTTTCCTCACATTCTGCTCCAACCTTAGGTTTGTGAAATGCTGGCCTCACTCCACTCCTCTCCATCTTCCGCTGGGCCTCGTCTCACAACCCTTCCCCCACCAGCCCTCCTTCCTCCGGGCACGACAGTCCCACGCCGCCACCACGCCTCGGGCTCCTCCCGCCTCTCCCAGCTCCGGGGCCGCAGAGCTGGCGGCACCTCAGCCTGCCCCCCTCTCCACCTCTCACTCCCGGCACCCCGCCGAAACCCTAGAGCCACACCTTAAGGCCGTTCCATGAGGCGCTCCCCCTCGGAGCCCGAGGGCGCGAGGTGGTAGTCGCGGGTCCTAAGGCTTCGGCGGCATTTTGAAAGGGCGAGTACTGAGCGCGCAACTTCCGGCCTGCCGAACCCTTTCGTACACAGGAGCTTCCGGTTAGGCCTCCGGAAACCATAGATGAGACAACTGGAGGACCAGAGAGCTAGAGAGACTGAACCCTGTACCATAGAGTACATCCGAGTTCGGGGAGAGAGTCGTGGAATTTGAATGACTGAGAAGTAGGGAGGGCTCCAAGAAACGTTTGGGGAGCTCGCTGGGTCTTATGATACTTACAGAAATGTCATTGGAGTTAGAAAACCAGAGGAGACAGCTAAGAACATAATCGGCCTTCAGCTTTTCGGAAAAACTGTACGCTTCTTCGTGCATTCTCTCTGTTCCTTGATGTAATTTACTCGCCCTACTCCCCAGGGTTTAGCTAGAGAGGAGAAACAGCAATCCTAATATTATCGTTAACTGGGGGCGGTGAGACTGGTACATTCACGAATAGATACGTGGTAAATGCCAAAGGAGAGGTACGAAGGGAGACGGGGCTTACTTGGATCACAGCCAGGTCCTCTAATCTCTCCCAGTGCTACAGACTACCTCGGGGAAAAATCGCAGGCCGACTGTTCAACCTCTGCCGCTGCCAAATGGCATTACCTCCCGCAAAATACCTTGTTTCCTTTACTTCAGGACGATCCTAAGACTCAGAGAATTTTTTGCCTTTGCAATTGCTCTTGGTTTTAGCTCTGTACTTTGGAGAATAAAATATATCTCCGTTATTTCCAAAATGAACACTTCCGTTATTTGAGGGGTGTCTATTTTTTTATTTTCTAAATAAATTTTATTTTACTTCCACCCCACCCTTGTTCAGTTAATTTAAAACAGCTTCCAGTTACAAGTCCTAACCCTCTTACTTGTTTCTCTGAAAGTTAAAATACCCTGATCCTTTTCTTTTTCTTTAAATACATGTTTGAGTCCCCAGCCAGCTTGGCCCTGTATTCTGGACAAGCACCTGTTCATTCTTTTTAAAATACATCTCCCAGAGATAGACACAGACCTATGCAAAAGGAAGTAGGGCAATGGCATGCGTTGGTTGGTACATTGTGCCCTGCCCTACTTCTAACAACCTCCCACACAACGTGGGGGATCCAAAGTTGGGTAAAGGAACTGAAGATTTCTTCATTTCCCCTTTTGCAGTTGCTCACTGTGAGCTTGAAGCCAGCAACCACCTCTCAAAGAAACGAAGAGGAAGAAGCTTTTTTAGCTGAACCACTGATAACTATTTTCCCTCTCCTTTTGTACAACTATTTTTTTAAAAAAGGATTTCCAAACAAATTTATTTTGCATCTTTTAAATAGTACCTGGTTAACTTAGAGGGCCTTTCGTACTGTTTCCCGAATCTTGGAATTGTGATTCTCTCAATTTGGTATAAGATCAACAAGTATTTGCTGATCACCTGCTATATGCTAAGCATCAACCTAACGGGTTCCAAAATGCATAAGGCTGGAATTTGGCTAGTGAGGGAGTCAGACTGTCTGGATAAAGAATGTGGTAAGTGTAATGATTGATCAACTACAGATAGCCTCACCTAGAGGCTCAAGAGGCTCTTTCAGTTTTGCATTGTGCAAAGTATTTATAAGCATATTTAATTTGTCTCCCCTTGAAGCCTTGATGAATACGTTGAATAGGACATGGTGAGGAATACAGTTTTTCCCATCATGATTCATATAGATTTGTGATTAATTTGTTCACCTTCCAATGTTGTCCTTAAATCACCAGTGACCCACCTAAAAGTAGTTAACATCTGGCAGCATTTGTCCTTTCTCCAGCCTTTCCCAAGGTTTTCACTAGACTTCATTCAAATGACTTGCTGTCCAAAAAAAAGATTGTATTTCATTTTTCTATCAGTCAAGTAACTTTACCAAAAAGAAATAAAATTGGCTTAAACACTCATAACCGTTTCTTAGTGATCACCACTTCCTTCCTTAAGAATCACACTGATGATTGATTGAATAAACAGGAAACCAGGTTTCTAGTCTAGCTATTTCTGTTTCTAGAAACTAGAACACTACAGTTCTTCCAGTCTTCAAGTCTCAATCTGTAAAATTAAATGGCTGAAGTAGATAATTTTTCTATGGCCTCTTCTGGCTTTATTTTTTGTTTATATTTATTATGAGACAGGGTCTTGCTACAATCTTCAGGCTGGCTTTGAATTCACTATGTAGCCCAGACTGGCCTCAAACACAGGGATCCTCCTGCCTCAGCCTCCCAAGTGCTATGGGACATGTGGTACCTTACCCATCCCTTTCCAGTTTTAAAAGAATTAGAACTCAATAGTATTGATCTACAATGTGAGGAACTGCCCCACTGATTATGCCCAAAGCAAGATGTAAGCAGTGCAGGCTGTAAAGAGTTAACCCGGCAATTGACTTATTTTAAGAAGTGAGTCTGACCAAAGCATATAAGATAACACACAGCTGAGGTCAGAGCTACTCTTATCCCAAATTCCATTCCCAGCCTGACACAAGAAGGCTTTGTCTCTTCCTTTTGCAAGCCTTGCCCACATCAGCAACATATCCCTAGTAACTACACATAGCCACTTTCACATAGCCCTTTTAGCACCTTTACCCCAACTTAACAATGATTGTGTCACCAATGCATATCAGTGGTTCTGAATTTCAGGGCTTTTGCTTGCTCAAGTACTGGTCATCACAATCCCCCATTTGTCTCTTCTATTCTGTCTCTATGTCTTGCTCCTTGCCATGCATCACAGCACTGAGCAGGAGATCGGAATCATATTCCCATCACTCTAAGAAGAAATACTTTACCTACACAAGGAAATTTTCTGTAATCTCTTCCATGACATCTCCCTTCTTCAAGCCAAAAGGGACCCACTATTTTGAGGGAGGAGGCTTAACTGGGGGTTGAACTCATGGCCTTCACAATGAGCTACATCCCCATGACTTTTTAAATCTTTGTATTTTTGATACAAGTCCTTGATAAATTTCCCCAAAGGAGCTCAAACTTGCAATTTTTTGTGCCTCAGCCTTCCAGAGTGCTGAGATTAGAGGAGTGCGCCCCCACACTTGGTGGAAATCATTATCCTGAATTCGATATTTACTTCTGGTATGTATCTCTTTAGATGTTCAGAATTTATGTATATATGCCTTATAAATACTGTGTGCTCTTACCTTATAAAAGCGTCAAACTTCGTGGTATGTATTCGACGGCGACTTACATTCTTGCTTGTGATTGTGATGTTCAATTGTGTAGTTGGTTCATTTCCACTGTTATATGATGATATTGCTGTACAGTAAGATATTGAATTGTATAAATGCAAAATGAATTTTTGTACTAGTTTTCTGGGGTTGCCATAGCAAAATACTACTGGGAGGCTTAAACGACAAAGATTTATTTTCTCAGAGTTCTGAAAGCCACAAGATCAAGGTGTCTGTTGTCCTCTAATACTTCTAATGCTTCTCTCCTTGCCTTCTAGATGGTTGCCTTTTCACCATGTCCTCAGTTGGTCACCCCTTGGTCATATGTTATCTGTCTTAATATTTTCTTATAAAGACACAAGTCATATTATGTTAGGGCCCACTCATATGACTGCATTTTATATAATTGCCTCATCAAAGACCCTCTCTCCAAATAGAGTCATATTCTGAGGTACCAGGACTGCAACATGAATTTTAGGGAGACACAATTCAGCACAGAACATAAATGAATGCACCACAATTTTTATTCATCCCTTTTCATGAATATTTAAGGCAGGTGTGGTGTGCACACTATAATCCCAGCTGCTGTGGAGGGTGAAGCTGGAGAATCAAAGTTCAAAGCCAACCTGGCTAATTTAGAGACCCTGCCTCAAGATAAAAAAGTATAAAAGGGCTGGGAATGTGACTCAGTGCCCCTTGGGTTCAATCTCTAGTGCCACCAAAAGTAAGGAAGGGAGGCAAAGAGAGGGAGAAAAACTAGACCAAGGGTGTCCAGCTGTTTGTTGTTACAGCAGGGCTGTCAACACTTCTGTCTGTCTCCGTTTGCATTCTCGGGAACATTTTTGGACCAGACACACTGTCCTCTCTAGATCACGCCAAAGTGCGTCCCAAAGTCACTGAAAAATATGCATTCCTGATAGAAGTATGTAAAAATTCTGTTGCCCCGTATCTTTGCCAATCCTCAGCACTTTTGGCTAATAAAAATAACCTGTTATGAAGTGGTTTCTCATGGTTGTTTTGCTATACACGTCCATGATTAGTAGTAAGGTTAATCATTTTTCATACGTGGTGACTTAATGTTCCTCAACTATGAATATCTTTTGCCCATTTTATATTAGATTACCTTTTAAAAATTAATTTCTAGATGTTCTCTATATAATCTAGATACAAATCCTTCTTGGTTATAGAACATTGCAACTAATATCTTTAAACTATCTAAAGCTTGTTTTCACTTTTTAAATGTTTCGTTTATGAACAGAAAGTTGAACCCCACAGCCTTCCACAGTATGCAATTGCTCTATCACTGACCTACCCCAGAAGTGTTGATGAAGTAAAATTCATTTTCTGCATTTTAAAATTTATTTTATTAGTACATGTTTGTAATACATAATGATTACCTTCATGTTGCAGAGCTGGTACATGTACATAACACATCTTAAATTGCTTTGCTTTGTTTTTTGAGACAGGGTCTTGGTACATATTCCAGGCTGCCCTTGAACTCACTAGCCCAGACAGGTCTCAAACACCCAGTGGTCCTCCTGCTGCAGGCTCCCTAGGAGTGTATAACAACGTTCACCCAATGCATTGATATATAATACTGAACTACACTATGCAATATAGTAGCCACCAGCCAAATGTAGCCAGCCCAGACTGAGCTATGCTTTAAGTAAAAATACACATCAGATTTCAATGACTTAATAGGAAAAGAAGAATGTAAAATATCTCAGTAATATTCTATATTGTTACATGTAGAAAAGATAGGTTTTGGATATATGGGATGGGATAAAATATATTATTAAAATAAATTTTACTTATTTCTTTTTACTTTTTAAAATATGGCTACTAGGGATTATAGCTATAATCCCAGCCCTCAGGAAGGTGATGCAGGAGGACTGCTTTGAGTTGAGGACCAGCCTCAACTACATAGCAAAACCACACCATCTCCAAAAGAGAAAAACAAATGTGGCTATTAGAAAATTCTAATTACATTTAAGAGGCATGTATTATATATCCATTGCATGGTGCTAACATAAAATCTTATCAATATTGGCTGGGCTGGATTGGGGAGGACTGTGAATGTCACTATATAACCTTTCATGTGTTATTCAGTGTACAGGAAAGAACCAAAGGGTTTTAAGCTAGTATCTGATATTCCTAATTTCATGATTCAGTGTCCCATCTAAACAAGCCAGTTGTAGAAATCATTGTACGTTCCAGTAGTATTTACATGTGATTCTTAGAGAATATTCAATATGATAATGCCTAATTTTTAAATGTAACATGAATATAACAAACCTAATGTATACACCTTTGAGAAGTTGGCATAGTAATGTTACAAAATTTCACAAGTTACAGTTTCCCATTGCTTAGGGAATAAAGGTCTTCCTTTCACCTGTAATTAACCTAATTTGTCAGCCTTCATAATTCTCTCTATCTCCCTTTCCCTCCAAATACTTTAAGCCTTTTGTTGAAGGGTGGATGGTGTCAGGGAAAAGTAAAAGAGCAGACTCCATAGTCTGTTCTTGTGCTATCTTTGCCATTAAATCTTTATATGACTTCATGTATACTTCCTACACTCTGACACTGCCAACACTGTTGTGAACAGCTTACATACACTACCTGAAGCCTCACAATCATACTACTGTCCCGAGACACAGAGAAATAGCTTGCCGAGTATTACATAGTGGTAGTTAGGATTCAAACAGGGGTACCTGCCTTCATTTACCCTTTCAGTTTTTCAATGTACATCTACGCACCCCTTTCTTTTAAAAAAATCACTGATTTGAAATAGTTTCTAATGTAACAATATTTTGCAATTTTCCCAAGTTGCATTCTACAACAAACTAATGGCTGCAAAACATTCCATGTCGAGGCTGTACCATAATATATACGGCCATTTATGACATTTCCAATTAAAACGCCATGAGGATCTCTTCTGTAAGCAGATCTTTTTGCACATTCCTGATTATTTCTTTGGGACAAATTCCTAATTCCTAAATGCGGCATTGTTGGACCAAATCAATCCCTCCGAAATCAGGTAAGAACTAAGGGAAGGAAAGCAACCTCAGCAAACAGATCCTTGAACGTCGCCTTCTCAAACTTCCACCTGAGGCGTTTCTCAGCCTGACTCCGTAGCAGAAAGCCATGCTCAGAGCCAAGGTGGCTGCAGGATCTCCGCGGTCAGCTTCCCGTCTGTGGTGTCCAGGGGCTTCCAGGCCCGATGTCACTGCTGGCGACCTCCTCCCGCCAAGTAAAATAATTCCGACGCCATCAGGCGACAGCGAGCTCCGGGACAGTATCACTATCCCTTCCTCCCATTTTCTCCTGCACCGGTCCAGCCCAGCAAGTTCAGAAGAGCACACCTGTATTCTCGCGTAGACCTTATTTTTCATCGGTGAGTGGGCTTTAGCACCGATGTCCACGGAGTTCTCCACGGCGAATATGGTAGACCGGAAGTCCCTGCAGGACTTCGAAAGTGAAACCTCACTGTTCTAATCCTGGGTCTGTTTGGAAGATCACTAGGCACACAAATATCTTACCGTTCGGTATTGGCTCGTAATACTGGTGAGAGGTCTAGAATTTGGACCTTTTGCTTTTCTTCTGCACCACATCCCGGGTTTGGCGATTAAAACAAGTTACACAAAAATACTATACTGGAGAACGGGCTCAATTGCGTATGGGTATTTATTCTTATGTAAGGCATTGTAGAGAAAGGATATCTCCACAGGAGCCCGGATAGCTCAGTCGGTAGAGCATCAGACTTTTAATCTGAGGGTCCAGGGTTCAAGTCCCTGTTCGGGCGCTTGTCTTTTAATTCTTAAATTAACAGTAATAAATTGTAGATCCTTGTAGCTATATCAAAGTAATAAATGTACACGTTACTAAAGTGTTTATTCTTTTGTAGTGAGAACATAGGGAACGTTGTTTTCACCTTTTTGGCTTTCCCTTTCTCGATGTGAAAATAGCAATTCCTCAATGCTGAGAAACTACAAAACCTCGATACTTGCCAAGGAATTAAATAATTTTGTATAGCCACTTTTTCTTCCCTTACAACATGTTAATCTACCGTATTCTAAAGTTAATGAATAGTGTTCAATTTAATCTAAAACGTTAGTATTTCACACTGCTGACAGGCTGGGACAAAAGCAAAAGAGAATCTCAGCCGCCCGAACAGGGACTTGAACCCTGGACCCTCAGATTAAAAGTCTGATGCTCTACCGACTGAGCTATCCGGGCACTCTTACTCAGATGACCTCTTTTGTTTACTTGATAGAATAGTACTGCCTTGCTTCACTTCTGGCAAATTCTACTTGAGTTTATTGCATTGTTTTAGATAAGACAAAACAAAAAAAATTTTTTTTCTTTTCTGATCCATTTACTTAAAACATATATTCAAGGTCTCTTCATGTTTGATAAATTGCCCATATATACTAAACTCCCAAGAACAAAAGCAATGGTAGCATATTACAGCAAAAAAACAAGAAAACACGGTGAACATTAAAACTTCAGAGTGTTGAAACCTTTTTAAATTCCACTTTTCTCTCTATCACTTCCCTGATAGGACCTCTTTAGTTATTCTACTGAGCTGGGTCACAGCGTCTTTCCTATTAATAAATTATGACATTTCCCTCACCAGATGATGTAACTGTGAGATACTTAAGCATTCCTAGCAAAAAGAAGATAAATTTGACCCAAAGCCTAGAAGCTAATACTGTAGGAAAATAGAAGTGACTGAAGAAAGGTAGATATGAATTTAAATTATGTAGGAAAGGGAGTTTAGTTAATTTGATTTTCAGTGTTTTGTTTTTTATTTTTCCTTTTCTTCCCCTTTCAAATTACAGTTTTACACTTGGTCTTAACCAAAAAAGTACAGAAGTGATACAAATTACTTTTAAAGCAGGCTCATAAGATGAATCTTTCCGAGTGTTATTTGTACACTCCAGGAAGAGCAACATGGAGTATTAAGAACACAGATCTACAATCAGCCTAGGTTTTCCTAACATCCGTTTCTCAGCCATGGTGAACTCTAGGGCGTGTAACACAATTATGAAATTTCAAAGGCTGATAAGGGAATTTATTTTTGTTTCTGGAACCTTGAGCCTTCTGACCACAATGAAAAATAAAACAGCTCAGCCTCAATCAGAGGGAATTTTTCTTTCCTAGAATTGTCTGGGTCTTTTAGAACAAAGTCCAACAAATTGTGTGATCCTGAATAAACCTGGGTTTCCACATATATAAAACGCAGGAAACTGATCAGATGACCTCTAAGATACCTTCTAAATCTAAAGTTTTACATTCTGTTAGTTTTTCCAGTGTGAATAAGATCAGGAGCAAGCTCAACTCACTAGGAAGGAGTGATTTAACGTAATAAACATTTATTTATTGATCATTTATTATCTCTTAGGCTTTGTGCTACCCTCTGGAGTGAGAAACAAGTAAGACACAAATCCTGCAAACAATCTAAAAGAGAAGGCAGATAAGAAGCAAAGGATTTTGATAAAAAGAAATAACAAATGTAATAAAAATTTAAGTAATGGCATAGCAGAAGTTGAGGATGAACAGAGGGTAGGCTGAGAAAAATGGGGCTGGGACTTGAGTTTTCAGCAAGGAAAATCAGAGTTAAGTTTGTCAAGCAGTTTTCAGAGTCAGATGGAAGAAACTGTAATTAGCCTTAGAGGACACATTTCTTCAGTACCCAGTGTTGGACAAAGGACAACTTCTGGCTCCATTTGCATGAATGAGATGTAGAAGTTAAACATACCTCTGATTTTTTTTTATTCCTTAAATTTATTGGTACATTTTAGGTGTACAACATGATGACATTCACCATTGGGAATTTGTACTTTTACATGCTGTATCTTGGTTCTTATTTTTTTCCTCATTCTCTGTCCTCCCTTCAACCCTTCCATCGCTCCCTATTTTCAAAAACTTATCCTCCAAATTTTTGAAGAAGGGAAATGGAGTCTGTCCAGCTCCTGCTAAGAAGGGTAAGAACAAATTAAAGGGCCTTCAAGTTTTCTCCCCACCTGACGGCCTTGTTACATCATTGTCCATCTCCTTCAGGATAACAAGGCCAACTGATGAAAATTAAATCAATGGAATTGACCAATGTGCTCACTTGTACGCGATATTTCTGTTTACCCACTTTTTCTATAGCAGTCAACAAAACAAGGAAGCAAAGAGTCCATGGCACATTTAGACTACAGGATGGGAAATGACTTGCTCTGGCTTAGATAGTAGGAGGTAGAGAGGTAGAGCAACTTGGAGACAACCACTGATCAGGCTTCTAAGGATAGTTTTATTTTATAGGCAGTGAAGAGCTAGTGAACATTTGGCTTTGCAAGATCCACCTGAGGGAGCAGGACTGTATCTGCCTCACCTGTGTTGTAGCACAAACATCAACACAGGTGCCCTCTGGCACCTTCTTTAGGATAAAATCCTCCCAGGTGAGTTTATGGAAATATAAACACTTGAATCTAATTTTCCACTAGAGGGCTGGAGAAACCCACACATTCTGTATTTAAAGACTAATTTTACTCTCCTTTTGCAACCCTCCTCCCCATACGGAGTTAGTGGTGATTTTTTTCCTTCAAAGCTAGTAAATCTAATAAATAGGAGAGTACAAATAACCAAAAAAAATTGTGAGACTGGGCACTATGCTGGATGCCTGTAATTCCAGCACCTGGGAGGCTGAGGCAGGAGATTCACAGTGACTCTGAAGCTAGACTAGGCTACATAGGAGTTCAAGACCAGCCTAACTACTTAGCAAAGACCCTGTTTCAAAAAGAAAAAAAAAAGGTGAAATCAAGAAAATGAGGAGGCAACCTACAGAATGGTAAAAACCATTTGCAAAGCATATATTGTATGATAAGTTAAGATCCAAAATATACAGGGAATTCATACAAGTCAATAGCCCCCCCCACACCAAAAGGAGCCTAAGAGGTGGGCAAAGGACCTGAGGAGACATTTTCCCAAAGAAGACATAGAAATAACCGACAGATTCATGGAAAGGTGCTCAGTATCACCAAGGGTCAGGGAAGTGCAAATCAAAACCTCCAGGAGGACAGAGGACTTGTCTAGCACGCCCCAGGGCCTGGATTCAGTTCGCAGCACCGCAAAACCAAAACGGAACCAAACACAGGGAGCTTCCGCTTCTGTCTCACACCGAGATGGCTACTGAAAACACAAGAGATAAAGTGTTGGGGATTTGGAGAAACAACCCTTGTACATCCTCGGTGGGGATGAAAATTAGTACACTCGTTATGGAAAACAGTATGGTGTTTCCTCAAAAAATTAAAAATAGCACCACCACGCAAGCCAGCATCCCATCTGGGAATACATATATCCAAAGGGAAGGAAATTAGTGCCTCGTCAAAGAGACAGCTGCATCATTCACTGCATTATTCACAATAACCAAGGTAAGGGAATCGGCCTAGGTACCCAACGACGGATGAATGGTTAGAGAAAATGTGGCACATCCATTCTGTGGAGTACTAATTAGCCTGGAAAGTGAAGGAAATGCTGTCACCGGAAACTACATGGATGAGCCTGGGGGACGTTATAGATAACGTTATAAATATGGGCTCTCACAAGGAATTCTAAAGGCCCAACTCATAAAAGCAGAGAGCGGAATGGTGGTAACCAGGGGATAGGAGGTGGGGGAAATGGGGAGACCTAACTGGAAGGATAAGAACTTTTCACTTGTAAGGTGAACAAATTTGGGGGCGCTAATGTACAGCAGGGTGACCATAGTTAATGGTAGTGCATTGTTTTTGCTCAGCGTGTAGGTCTTAAGTGTTCTCAACATATACACACAACCACACAGGTAAAAGAATCAGTGACTGAACACACATTACTTTCCTAACCCCTCAACATTTATTTTTGAGACAGGGTCTCACTAAGTTGGTAAATTGCCCCAGCTGGGCTCAAACTTGAGCTTTCTGTTGCCCCAGCTTCTCGGAGTGATGGGATTAAGGACATATATAGGAATATTTTTATTTATTTTATTGATACTGGGGAACAAACTCAAGACCTTGCACTTGCAAGGCAGGTGGCAGCACCACTGAGCTAAATCCCCAGCTCCTTTATTTGCGGCCCCTTTACTTGTTTAGCAGTGGCCAAGTTTCAAAGCTTACTTGAAAAAGTAGAAGTGAAGAGTGAGCAACTGGTTCTGCAGAGCCAGCTTGGGCGAGGTAAAAGAGGAAAAAGCAAGGTAAGAACACCCTGGAGGACAGGGGTGGACTCTGATGAAGAAAGCCACCACCGTAGCCTGAATCTTTTTGAAGAAATTCTACTGAGGGATTTAAAATTACAATGTTACAAAAAGTGCACTTTTTAGTCTTAGCCTGAATTTGTTTTACAGACCCGTCCTATGCTGAATCAGAGTCCGGAGAGAATACAGCACAGCTTGGGTAAACTGAGTCCCCCCACCCCACCGCCACACTGATTTCAACCACTTGCTCCGAGCAGTAACTCAGCTCTTGTTACCCCTGAAATCTCAACTTGCAAGCCCTTCACCACTGTCTCTCTTCCAAGCTACAGTAGTTGACCTGGGTTTCGCATACCGAGTATTTGAGAACGACCTGTGTCTCGTGCAATCCATTAGGCCTGCACACTCAGGATAAACAGTGGGGATTTTCT